CAAACAGTGGCTTAATGGTCAAAGAGTTGGACTTCCAAATGTCGTAGGTTTGAGTCCCGGCACTGGCAGCACTTGTAGGCTTTGTAGGATTGCAGATTGTAGGGAGTGAATAACCAGCGCTCTCAAAACCCTAAATATAATGGCTGAGGTGAATCCTTTGAGGAAGAAACCAAACCCCCAGCTGCTCCCTTGACACCAGAGCAATGTCTGCCCACTGCCCTGAGTGTGTGTTCAATTTGATGAGTTAAATACTGAGTATAAATTCCAAGTATGGCTCACTATACTTGGCAACCTGTATGGTCCCACTTTATATTAAGTGGCCTTAACTAATATGTACTTACATAGGTATTAATAGTTTGTTACAATGTACTTATTGTGTAAATACATGTATTTACTGTGTACTTACGCTTGATTAAATACATGTATGTAGTTACATCTGTAGTTAACTTTTGTAATTACATTTGTAAATACACTGTTGACTATCCCTTACACCTTAACCCACCCTTAAACCTACCCATGCCACCAAACCTGTCCATAACCCAACCTCTATCCCAACTCAAAAGCACCACAAGTGTTCTCAAATACATTATAAACACAGTAAGTACATTGTATTTATTTTTTGATGTAAGTACATAGTAGTTAAGGCCACTTAATATAAAGTGGGACCACATGTACCAACAATTCTTTACTTTCCTTTCCATGCATGAACTGTTCCTATTGACAGGGCCCTAGATAGTGTTCAATGCACCCATATTCCCCACTGCACCCTGAGCACAGGCGATCTTTACTGTACTTTAGAATGTTCATTCATGAGTTTCCGTCCACACTGCATGCATCGTCTGACATGTGACACAATATACTGTATCTATGTAAATCAATAACATTTAAATGATTTGAATGAAACATATACATTACCTTCAAATTGGATTTATGACAGAATGTCCCAGTCCAATTCACAGGGCTTAAATTATTAAGGCTGAAGCTAGAACAGAAACATACACAAGGACTGGAATTGTGAATCCCTGATTCAGTGGATAATTAGAATGAATTTGCATAATCTCATCTGTACATTTTGGTATGATTTACTCATGGTTTATACCAATGATGGTTGGGTTTAAGGCTGGCATGGTGGCTCAGTGGTTAGCACCAGTGGTTAGTTATGGGTTTTTCTAGGTTGCACCTGAAAGGGCAATGCCAGAATAGTTTGCACTTCATTCCGCTGTGGCAACCCCTGATAAATAAAGGGACTAAGCCGAAGGAAAATGAATGAATGAATGAATTAATTAATTAATGAATGGTTGGGTTTAGGTTCATGCCTCCTTTTAAAAATCTTACGCATTCATATGAATAAAATTGAATGAATTACCAACTTTTCTCTCAAAAAAAAATTTACATTTATTATGTTTCCTCATGGGATCATGGATAACTCTAAATAGGACTAAGTATTAATCTCGAAATGTAAGATTTGCTCACACCCCAATGATATTTGGGTTTAGCGGAGGGGTTTGGGAACACACCTCCGCTTTTAAATAAACAAGTTTTCACATGGACAATTCATTCGTTCATTTTCCTTCAGCTTAGTCCCTTATTTATCAGGGGTTGCCACAGAGGAATGAACCGCCAACTATCCCAGCTTATGTTTTACACAGCGGATGCCCAGTACTGGGAACACCCATACACTCTCGGATTTAATTGCACTACGACCAATTTTGTTCATCCAATTTACCTATAGCGAATGTTTTTGGACTGTTGGGGAAACTGGAGCACCCGGAGGAAACCCACGCCAACATTTTTTGTAACCCTCATGATGAAATACAGTTGAAACCAGAAGTTTACATACACTTTAAAAAATAAGGAGCACAACCTTTTTTTTTTAATGTCTGATGGTAAATCATACTAAAGGTCTGCTATTTTAGGTCCGTTAGGATTACCTAAATGATTTACATTTGTTAAATGCCAGAATAATGAGTGATTTTCTTTTTAATTTTTTTTTTTATTTCTAGACAGTCAAAAGTTTACATACATTTCCTTGAGTTTTTTTTAGTTTTGCTTTTAAACTGTATAACTTTGGTTAAATGTTTTGGGTATCCTTCCACAAGCTTCTCACAATAGTTTGCAGGATTTTTGGCCCATTCCTCCTGACAGAAAAGGTTTAACGGTGTCAGATTTGTTGGCTGTCTTGCTTGCACAAGCTTTCTCAACTCTGCCCACAAATTTTCTATAGGATTGAGTTCAGGGCTTTGTGATGGCCACTCCAAAACATTCACTCTGTTGTCCTTAAAGCACATTTGAAATAATTAGGCAGTATGCTTAGGGTCACGGTCTGTTTGAAAGACCCATTGGTGGCCAAGTTTTAATTTCCTTGCTGAAGTCTTGAGATGTTGCTTTAGTATTTCTACATAATGTTCTTTCTTCATGATGCCATCTATGCTGTGAAGTGGACCAGTCCTTCCTGCAGCAAAACAGCCCATCAACATGATGCTGCCGCCCCTATACTTCACAGTTGGGATGGTGTTCCTAGGCTTGTAAGCTTTTTCCTTTGTCCTCCAAATGTAACACTGGTCATTATGGCCAAACAGTTCAATCTTGGTTCTATCAGTCCACAGGACATGTCTCCAAAAATTAGTCTTTTTTCCCAGTGTAATTCAGCAAATTGTAATCTGGCTTCTTTTGTTGATTCTGGCTTGTAGATTTCCCGATGTTGTCACACAAGGAAGCAGTGTGTTTGAGGTTTTCCTTAAATGCTATTTTACAGTTGTGCCTCCAATTAACTCAAATGTTGTCAGTTAGCCAATCAGAAAGTTCCAAAACCTTGACACCATCATCTGAGCTTGTTCAGAGGCATAATAATCTTATTGTATGTAAACTTGACTTTAAAGAAAATTTAATAGAAAAGTAAAGAAAATATCTCTCTCATTATTATACTATTAAGCATAACAGAAACAAATGTGTTATTTCTAACTTACCTAAATCAGAAAAAGTTTAGTCACATTGACATCTGACTTTTTTTTAATGGTTATGTGCCTTTTTATACAGTGTATGTAAAATTCTGGTTTCAACTGTACATAACTAAATCTCTTTGACAGTTATCATGACAGAAATGAAATTATGGATTCATGCGGATGCCACTTTTCTGCCAATACATGAAACAGTTACTTTCAAACAGGCTGGATAATTCTAATTGGGGCCAAGGATTATTCTTGTTTGGGTTTGGCCAAACTTGAGTTGCTCCAGTTTTAACCAGCTAAGATTCTGTTTTTAGGAGTTTTTCTTTTTTTTTAGATTCATTTTTAGTTATATATTCATCAGTATGCTATAAACAGAACACAAACTTTTTGTCAGGCACGTCATTCACCTTTTGTGTATTATTGACACGCTCTGCGTGACGCGTGATACTTTTTCCCGTTAATCCACTTGAGCGAGAGTTAGAGATGGAGGGTTAGAGCGAGAGTAAGAAGGAGGGTCAGTGAGAGTGAGGAGAGGACTCCAGGTCAGTGAGTGGACTTCAAATCCAGCTCCAATTTGGCAGCCGTCTCTTGTCAGAGTTGATTACCGCTGAGCCGTTTCGACTTCCCCCAACTGTGATGAGCCACCGGCTGTAAGCAAACGCACTGGTTTTTTTGGACTTGGGGGAGGAGAGAAGAGTGTGAATGAGGGGGCTCTTTCGCTCCGAGGAGACTTTCTCATTATCACAGCTATGACAAAACAATAGCGCTTCTGTTACGAGACACTTTAAATCAGGCAAAGCAGGTGATGTATATTTGCTTATATTATTTATTTAACATGGCGTAGTTTGTGTTGGTTTACGAACTTAAAAATGTCTCACTCTGACGTAGTTCTAAACCTGTGTGACTTACAAAAGAAGATATTTTGAAGGATGATGGAAACTGCCAGCCATTGAGATCCATTGTAGGAAAAATGTATAGTGATGAAGTCAATGGTTACAACGGTTTTTAACATTTTTCTAATTATCTTCTTTTGTGTTCAAGAAGTGAATGGTTTTAATTTTGGGTGAACTATTTCTTTAAGAAGGTAATTTGTGGAGAATTTTTACAATTTTGACTAGCGCAGATAACTTTGTACATGATTTAATTGTGTAATTTGATTCGCTTTCTATATATGTATATTTACTATATCATTGATTTAAGTTTGGGGATTTTAGTCGTGTTTTTATGATTCTGGTTCCCATTTTTAAACATATTTTTAATACTATTATGATATTATATATCAGTGTTTCCCAACCCTTTTGCTGGAGGCACACTAACAGTGCATATTTTGGACGTCTCCCTTATCTGACCCATTCAGGTTTTGGAGGCTCTTCTAATGTTTGATGAGTTGATTCAGGTGTGTTTGATTAGGGAGAGGTTGAATATGTGCACTATTGGTGTGCCTTTAGGAACATGGTTGGGAAGCACTGTTATATATTATTTTAGTTCGTTAATTATGTATATAAAGAGTATAAAATCTTGTGAACAGCACAATGAATGAGTATATTGTTTGGAGATTTCTAGCAGACTGTGTACAGCAACCTTTTGTATCCTGGCACTGGAGTGTATTATGTGACTAAAACTTAGAGCAGAGGCCACTTTTGGACAAGGAGATTATGTTATATAACAATCCTAAATTTAATAACTTTCATATTTTATAAGCTTTTGTCAGCTACTCGTTCTTTTATTTCATTTGAATATTAATTACAGTAATTTGTATAGCTCAAACTTTAACAAAAGCCTCATTTGTGTTGATTTCTTCCATTAACTGAGCTCTACTTTTAGCCTTTTTTATTTTTTGGTACCGCATTCAATGAATGAATCCGTTTAATTAGTGACTGTTTAGTACCAGCATGAGTTCCTGAATGCTTTAGACATTTGTTTATTCGTCTGGGGTTTTGAATTAAATATTTAGGGGAGAAGCTTGTCCGGTGTGTGTCTCTCTCTGTCTTTCTCTCTTTCTCTTCATGCATCAATGCATCCTAGCTCAGTTTCCTTCTGTCTTTATCGCAGGCAATAAATCCTTCAACATGATGTCCCCTACTGGAGATAATTCTGAGCTTCTGGCCGAAATTAAAGCTGGGAAGAGTCTAAAGCCGACACCTCACAGTAAAGGCTACACGACCGTCTTTTCGAACAGCGGCACACCAGGAAACAATGTAGGTCACGCTTGCTTACTTTATACTATATATCCCTCACTAAATTTACTTCATATTTATTAAGTAAAAATTTGTTTGGATCATGCTTAAAATGTGGATGAATTTTTTGGTTGAATGTACAGAGGTCTGACATATTGAGTTTGAGCTGTGTGTGTGCACTGTGAATGACTTTTGTAAATGACACAGTATTTAACTGTAATATGAACTGTATTTTACAGTTATGCGGTATGTTACTGTATTTTAAAGTTGCACTGTAAAATTACTGTATATTTCACAGTAAAGGTGTACATACAATACTGTGACTACATTTACAGTTAGATAAATGTTGCTGTAAATGTAAATACAGTATTTTTGCTGTAATTGATTTACAGTAAGTTACTGTCGAGTTGCTGCTTAAGGTTACTTGAGGTTGTTTTGGTGAAAATGGATTAATACTTAAAATGAAAGATGGAAATGCATTTGCTGAATAAACGTTACACTGTTAACAATTTCCAATCTAATCAATAAGAATCTACAGTAGCATACTGTAACTCAAATACAGTAAAAAGACTGCATTTACATTTGTAGCATTTATCTTGCTGTATACTAATTTACAGTATTGTATGTACATCTTTACTGTAAAATGTACAGTAATTTTACAGTGCAACCATAAAATGCAGTAACATACTGCTTAACTGTCCTAAAGTCAAATGCAGTTCATATTACAGTTCAGTTCGCAAGTAACTAAGTGTAAATCAGTTACAGTAAAAATACTGTATTTACATTTACAGCACCAGTTACCTTGATGTGTGTGTATTTACAGTATTGTATATCTTTACTGTAAAATATACAGTAATTTTAAAAGGGGCAACTTTAAAATACAGTAACATACAACGTAACTGTCCTGCAGTACAGTTTGCATTAACTTAGTGTAAATCAATTACAGCAAAATTATGTATTACCCTATGCAGCATCATTCATCTTGCTGTATACTCATTTACAGTATTGTATATCTTTACTGTAAAATATACAGTAATTTTCACAATGCATTTTTAAAATACAGTAACATACTGCATAACTGTTCTACAGTAAAATACAGTTCATACTACATATCAGTTCACCAGTAGCTTACTGTAAATCAATTACAGCAAAAATACTGTATTTACATTTACAGCACCATTTACCTTGGTGTGTTTGTATTTACAGTATTGTATGTATATGTTTACTCTAAAATATAGAGTATTTTTCACAGTGTAGCTTTAAAATACAGTAACATACTGCATAACTGTCCCACGGTAAAACTTAGTTCATATTACAGTTCAGTTTCCCAGTAACTTACTGTAAATCTGTCAAATACTGCAAAAATATTGTATTTATATGTACAGCACAATTTATCTTATTGTATATGTATGTACTATACTGTATATATTTACTGTAAAATATACAGTAATTTTCATAGTGCAACTTTGAAATACAGTAACATATTGCATATTTGTCCTACAGTAAAATACAGTTCATATTTTAGTTCAGTTTGCCAGTGACGTACAGTAAATCAATTACAGTAAAAACTGTATTTACATTTACAGCACCATATACCTTGTGTATGTATTTACAGTATTGCATATCTTTACTGTAAAATAAACAATCATTTTCACAGTGCAACTTTAAAATACAGTAACATACTGCATAACTGTCCTACAGTAAAATACAGTTCATATTAAAGTTCAGTTTGCTAGTAACCAACTGTAAATCAATTGCACTAAAATTACTGTATTTACATTTGCAGCACCATTTACCTTGCTGTACATTTATTTACAGTATTGTATATCTTTACTGTAAAATGTACAGTAATTTTCACAATTCAACTATAAAATACAGTAACATACTGCATGACTGTCCTACATTAAAATAGAGTTCATATTATGGATAAAATAATGTGTCATTTACAAAAATTGTTAGCAGTGCACACCCAAGTGACTAATCAGCTGGCTCCATTAGGCTTGCCTTGTTTACTGTGGATACTAGGTTACCGATACTACATTCAGAGGCTCTAATAACTTGATGAAAGGACAACGTAATCCAACAATTTTTTAAAAGTTTTGCTTCACGTTAGTCTGAAAAGCTATTGTTTGTCTTAAGATATACCACAACTATGTTTGCATTAGAAACACTGAGGATTATCCTTAAAAAGCAAAAGCCAAATGGGCAAATCACATATTTCACATGAATGCAAATGGTTTGGAGTTATGGACTTATAGCGCATAAGAAGAGAAACTAATTCTGTATAAAAAAAGATTTTACATGCTGTATTGTATAAATAGGTTCATATTTCCAAAATATAACTGCTAGGGCCATAAAAAGTAATGAAACTCGATCAAAGTTGCAGTTCAAGTGAGTAAAGTTGTAGTTCGGAGTATAGCAAGAGTTCAGTTCGGTGATCTGGAATACAAATCCATTGTCCTGGATAATTCAGCCAGTCCAATGAGAAGCTTGTGTAACTCAGTTATCAGTGGTTGAGGCATAATAGCTCAGTTTATTAAGGTTACATAATTGAGGAAGTGCCAGAAGAGTGTTCAGATGCTGCCATCTAACGAAGCTTGCTAACATGCAATTCTTAGAAATGAACTTGGGAAAAAAGCGCTGACTGTTATGTAATTTCTTGTTCTTTTCTTGATATACTGATTAAAATTGCAGTTAATTCAAAATTGAATTATGATAGTTCCAGAACAGTATTGCATTGATCTTAATAATATGCAACGCATTGTTAAAAAAGCATGCAATATGCAATGTTTAAAATTGCAATGGACTATATAGGAGTTTGCATGTTCTCCCTGAGTTGGCGTGGGTTTCCTCCGGGTGCTCCCCCACAGTCTGAAGACATGTGCTATAGGTGAATTGAATAAATGAAATTGGTTGCAGTGTAAGCATGTATTTGAGTGTGTAGGGATGTTTCCCAGTACTGGGTTGCGGCTGGAAGGGCATCCGCTGTGTAAAACATATGCTGGGTAAGTTGGTGGTTCATTCTGCTGTGGTGACTGCTGATGAATAGAGGGACTAAGCTGAAGGAAAATTAACGAATTAACGGTTTTGTTTATAACTGTTGTTGTTTCTTTTTTTTACTGTTCTCTGGTTTACATATAAAATTCTGGTTTAAAAATACTGGTTTACATATAAAATTATGAAGATTATTATATTAAAAAAAATCTCAATATAGATATAATAGGTGGCCTCCGACCACCTACATGGATAGTTGACCTAAAAACTAAAAGTTTACTGTCATTTACTCACCCTTTATGTTCTTGAATTTCTTTTATTTTTGTTCAACACAAAAGCAGATATACTGAAGATTGTTGGAAATCTGTAACTAACAACTGTATTTGTTTTTCCTCCTATGGAAGTCAATGGTTACAGGTTTCTTCAAACTATATATTTTGTGCTTGCATGTGTGTTTAACAGAAAAATGAACTCATACTGTTTTGAAACCAGAAAATGATGAGTAAATGTAAATATTTGAGTGAACTGCCCCTTTAAATGGAAAATAAACATATTTTAAATACTTGAAAGGAAATGCCCAAAGGTAAAGTTAGCATATTCATTCATTTTCTTTTCATATTAGTTCCTTTATAAATCTGGGGTCGCCACAGCGGAATGAACTGCCAACTTATCCAGCATATGTTTTACACCCTTCCAGCTGCAACCCATCACTGCAAATCATCCACACACTCACTCATTCACACACATACACTACAAATAATTTAGCTTACCCATTTCACCTATACCACATGTCTTTGGACTTGTGAGGGAAACCAGAGCACCCGGTAGAAACCCACGCCAACACGGGGAGACCATGCACACTCCACACATAAATTCCAACTGACCCAGCCCAGACTTCAAGCAGCAACCTTCTTGCTGTGAGGCAATTGCGCTTCCCACTGCGCCACTGTAACGGCTTTTTTATTGTTGATGTTTATTTTGTACTATTCGCTGTGGTCCACATATGTTATCCAGGTTTTTACCTTAAAAAACATCCAAATTTAGAATTAATAGGCTATTTTCAATTGTGTTTCGACACCACCTACCAAAAAAGTCTACTATCATTTACTCACCCTACACTGGTTTCTTTGCTCAACACACACAACAAATATATATATATATAGGAAATCTGTAGGCATTGACTTCCAAAGTATGTGTTTTTCCTACAATGAAAGTCAATGATTACTAGGCATGGGTATCGTTAAGGTTTTAATGGTATTACTACTATCGGCAGCTAGCTCTCTGCTACTCTAGCATGGTCCCTCACTAAAGCTAAGCAGGGCTGTGCCCGGTCAGTAACTGGATGGGAGACCGCATGGGAAAGCTAGGTTGTTGTCGGAGGTGGTGTTAGTGAGGCCAGCAGGGGGCGCTCAACCTGCGGTCTGTGTGGGTCCTTATGCCCAAGTATAGTGACTCAGTTGAACCGAGGTCCTGACTCTCTGTGGTTGTTAAAAATCTCAGGATGAAAAAGAGTAGTGGTTTAACCCCGGCATCCTGGCCAAGTCTGCCCACTGGCCTCTGTCCATCATGGCCTCCTAACCCTCCCTATGTCATAATTGGCTTCATCACTGTCTCCTCTCCACCAATCAGCTGGTGTGTGGTATGCGGTCTGATGCAAAATGGCTGCCGTCGCATCATCCAGTCGGATGCTGCACACTGGTGGTGGATGAGGAGATTCCCTCCTATGTGTAAAGCGCTTTGAGTGCCCAGAAAAGTGCTATATAAATGTAAGGAATTATTATTATTATTATTGTTTTTAATTTTTTTTTTTATTGATATCACTTATCGGTTCGGTACTTTAACGGTTCGGTATTAGGGCTTTTTTTTATGAAAAATAAAAAAATAAAACAAAACTAGTTGAACAGAATTAACAACAAATTGAACAGAATTAATTTATTATTACATTTTAATGTAAAATATAACTAAACCAATGATTGTAAATGAAATAAATATTTTTTCCTGTAAAATAGAATGGAGAATGGTTTGAAAGAAAATGATTTAGTTTTTAACCATTCTTCCGGAGAAAATGAACATGTTTGCCTTTTCTAGCAGAAGTCAGGATTTTTCTTGGTTTTTTGTGCTCCCTGCAGGTGAAAATACCCTCTGAGTTGCAAAATGCAGTAAAATGAGATAATGTTTATGATTTTTCATAAATGAGTTAACTGTTTTTAATACAGTTTTGGAGCATCTTGCAATGTAAAAATAAGCATTTTTAAATATTTTTTTATAATTTCTTAATCAGCATAGTTTATTATTAGGCTATTCATAGGCTATATTTGTAAATGCAGCTGATGTAAAAACATTTTAATGTTTAAGATTTAATTAGGCTACTGCAGAAAAACACTGTTTTCATTGTAACCAAATGTGTGTATTTATTAAACTTTTAATATTATGCTCATTTAGGTGATTGACTGCTGGCATAACAATGTGGATGATATGATGTTACCGTTAATAGCTAGGCAGTCAAAACTCTTACATTTGTCTTTCTGCGGTTAATGCCCTTTTGAAAGATACTTTCACTCAGATTATTTCATTTCCGCTTATACAAGGAAATAACTTGTTGCGTTTTTTGCAACGGGCATTGACGCTGTCCACTCGAGAAATACAACCCATTTTGTTCACTCCGCAAGCTTACACGGTTGTGTTTGCGCGAGTATGTATCACGAGCTATGTGTGTGCACTTAGTGCAAGTCTCCACTGAGTGCATGCACACAGCCGAGAGCTGTGAAGGCTTTTAAACACGGGCATTTCTCATGTGAGATTACCAACTGTGCGGACGAATATCAAATATTGCAAATTAGAAAAGGTTGGTCAGTTAAATAATGCAACTGTAAGTAATGTTTATTCAGCAATACTTCTCCAGTAGCTATAGCAGAACCGTTAACGTCAGAGCTTATCAATACTTCTTACAAAATACAATGTCTTTTACAATGTAGCACCGATACCGATAAAGTACAGAGTTTCGGTACCCATCCCTTATGATTACAAGTTTGCAGCTGTCTTCAAAATATATACAGCATGTGTATGTGTGTTCAGCAGAAAAAAGAACTCAAACAGGTTTGAAACCAGGGAAGGGTGAGTAAATCATGGGCAAATGTACTTTTTTTTTTAAATGCCACACAGTTTTGAAAACCTGGAAGCAAACAGCCAAAGGTTGACATGTTAAAAAATACTAAAGCAAACAAAATGCTGTTTCATATTTTGAATTCTTGATTTAGGGGATTTTGATTTCCCAGTTTATGACCCTTTTATATCATGTATGAATACACATATACAGTTGAAGTCAGAATTATTAGCCCCTCTTTTATTTTTTTGCTCTTTTAAATATTTACCAAATGATGTTTAACAGAGCAAGGAAATTTTCACAGTATGTCTGATAATATTTCGTCCTTCTGGAGAAAGACGTATATGCCGAAGCCTGCTAATAGGACTTTTAATTTGCTAGTAACCTGGGTTAAGCGATTCCGGTGAACTGTGTGCCAATGCAAAAATCGGGGCATTTAAGGTCAGTTTTTCTTTTAAAATCAGCGATCTCCACTGGCTGAGTGATATCTGATATAACGTGGGTCTCAGATTGTACAAGACGCACTGCATTAAATTACATTTTCCCCGGCTTGTCTTTATAATATGAGCATTCATTTTACCCCAGTATATTCAATGGAGCTTCTACGCTAGCCTCCTGATTCTGACAGGCGAGTGCAAGTAAAAGGGCCTTTTGTCTCGTTTTTCGCTTGACCAACTAAATGAATGCCAAAGTTTATTTAACTGAATGTATTTTAATTACATTACAACATCGATGCTGTAAACGGAACCGTATAAAATGAAAACAAAAATCACAATAACAGGTCACCGGAAGTTTATCAGTATGGGAACAACACTAGCTCGGCATATACCCTATTAACCTAGTTAAGCCTTTAAATGTCACTTTAAGCTGTATAGAAGTGTCTTGAAAAATATCTAGTCAAATATTATTTACTGTCATCATGGCAAAGATAAAATAAATCAGTTATTAGAAATTAATAGAAATGAGTTATTAAAACTATTATGTTTAGAAATGTGTTGAAAAAATCTTCTCTCCGTTAAACAGAAATTGGGGAAAAATAAAAACAGGAGGGCTAATAATTCTAGGGGGGCTAATAATTCTGATTTCAACTGTGTATTTTCTTCTAGAACCTTCAATTCTGCTCATTTTCTCTTACAGGGGGAAAGTCCATCATCGCCGCCAGAGCCTCTGCCAAAACCCAACGACACCCAATCCGCGAAGCCAGAATCTCCACCGCCTGCTTGTCCACCGACGCCACCCAATCCCACAGCCAGCAGGTCGTCACCCCAGAACCTGTCCACTTCACAGAGCAGCGACCAGCTCACAGCTGCGGTCAACGGTAACACGTCTGTCGTCCAGAACAAGACCAGCGTGGTGGACGTGGAGAGTTTGGTGCCCACGCACGACGAGCAGGGCCGAGCCATTCCAGAGTGGAAGAGGCAGGTGATGGTCCGAAAACTGCAAGTGAAGATGCAGGAGGAGGAAGAGAACAAGAGAAAGGTGAGTGAGAGAATGTTTCCAGTGCCAAACATGAGTTGAAGTCAAAACTATTAGCCTTTTTTTTCTTTTAAATATTTCTCAAATTATGTTTATTAGAGCAAGGAAATTTTCACAGTATTTCCTATTATATTATTTCTTCTGGAAAAAGTTCTTATTTGTTTTATTTCGGCTACAATAAAAGCAGTTTAAATTTTTTAAAAACTATTTTAAGGGCAATATTATTAGCCCCCTTAAGCAGTATTTTTTTTATTATTATTATTTTTTGATAGTCTACAGAAGAAACTATTTAGAAATGTGTTGTTAAAATCTTCTCTCCGTTAAACAGAAATAGGGGGGGAAAGATTCACAGGGGGACTGATAATGTAATAATGCAGGAGGGCTAATAATTCTGACTTCAACTGTAAGCTGAGGAAGTGCAGCTCACATTGTCCAGCTTTAACAAAAGCAATAAAAGTTGATGATAATGATATGTAATGATTTGTAACATGCTTAAGACCCCAATCAAATCAGTTGTTTTGTGACTCTGTGTTTAAAGGGTTCGTTCAGCCAAAAATGAAAATCTCATCCTAAAGGGATTCTAAATGTAAAAAAAATATATATTGAAGTATTTTGAAATAGCTAGTTTTTGACATCCATAATCGTAAAAAAAAAAAAAAAAAAAAAACTTTAAAAGTAAACTTTAAAATATATATATATTTCAAAATATCTTCTTGTGTGCTTGAAACATATGGGGTGAGTAAAAGATGACAGAATTTATATTCTTTTAAAACTAGACTTAATATTTAACTTATCTTATACTATGCTATACTTAACTATACTAACTTAAGATTATACTGTACGTAACTTATACTTAAGATCATCTTTATGTTAGTATCTTAATAGTTGAGAAAATGATTATACGCAGGGGCGGCATGGTAGTTCAGTGGATAGCACTGTCACCTCACAGCAGGAAGGTTTCTGGTTTGAGTCCTGACTGGGCCAGTTGTCATTTCTGTGTGGAGTTTGCATGTTCTCCCCATGTTGGCGTGTGTTTCCCCTGGGTGCTCCCGTTTCCCCCACAGTCCAAACACATGCACTCTAAATGAATATTATCATTTAACTCTTATCACTTATTCCATTTAATACATCAAGTAAATGTGCAAATGTTAAATATTTACTTAGAAAATTCTAGTTATCCTTGACACTTAATATTACAATAAAAAAATGTTGAGAATAAATTTATTCGATTTTACTACAACAAAAAGAAATTTCTTTCACTGTTATTGCCTGTGTCACGGAAGAGAAATTAAGCGCCTTCTTCACATATGAAAAAACTGCATATAATATATAATAATTCATCATAACACACACAGTATCAAGTGTCCCAAAATATTTGAAGGGGTTATTTTAATTTAATTCAACACATGGTCTCCCCGTTTTGGCATGGGTTTCCTCCGGGTGCTCTGGTTTCCCCCACAATCCAAAGACATGCGCCATACAGTAGGTGAATTGGATAAACTAAATTGTCCGTAGTGAATGTGAATGTGAGTGTGTATAGGTGTTTCCCAGTAGTGGGTTGCAGCTGGAAGGGCATCCGTTGTGTAAAACATATGCTGGAATAGTTGGCGGTTCATTCCACTGTGGCGACCCCTGATAAAAAAGGGACTAAGCCAAAGGAAAAAAACAAATGAATGAGCACGATATAATTTTTGAGATTTCTAGAATGAATGTGTCCACTGCCCATCAGTGATAGCTACCTCTGACTAGCATTAGCTAAATTAAAGTTTGTCAGTTTTTAGTTGATAATTTGCATAGTTTTTTAATATGTTCCATTGAACGAAAGAAGGTTGCCGATGTACATGTTGTGGATCTTTTAAGTGCTGTTTCTATTTCATAGTAATATGTCTGTCACTGGAGAGAAAACTGCATATCATGGGGTCTTTAAGCATGTTAAATAAGCACTACGTTCAGAAGCGTATACACAAACAACACTGTTTCTGTAGACCATCTATACAGTGCAACTGTATACATTTATTACACCTCACTTGGCTTTCAGTTTCATTCTAATAAATGAAAGGAATAGAAACTGCCATTGTTTTTACTTCTTAAAGAGATTGAACAATCTCTTTAAGGTCAGATTTCATTTACAATCCAACATAACCATATTTTTTTTAGCATGGCACCCGAATGCCCAACACGATCTCACGCCCATTTCTAACTTTTTGATTTAGTGGCTAATTCGTATGAATATGTATGACCTCATACGTATAATTTAGTAAGATTTGCTTATTACCTTTCTTCGTGAGATCAGGCTGGAATGCCACTAGCATGTAATGCAGGGGTGTCCACACTCGGTCCTGGAGGGCCGGTGTCCTGGAGAGTTTAGCTCTAACTCTAATTAAACACACCTGAAACAGCTAATCAAGCTCTTACTAGATATACTAGAACAGGGGTGTCAAACTCAGTTCCTGGAGGGCCGCAGCTCTGCACAGTTTAGTTCCAACCCTGCTTCAACACACTTACCTGTGGGTTTCAAACAAGCCTGAATGATTCAATTAGTTTGATCAGGTGTGTTTAACTGTGCAGAGCTGCGGCCCTTTAGGAATCGAGTATGACATCCCTGTACTAGAACTAGAAACTTTCTGGCAGGTGTGTTGAAGAAAGTTGGAGCTAAACTCAGCAGGACACTGACCTTCCAGGACCGAGTTTGGACATCCCTGATGTAATGCAATGTGGTCATTAATTAGCTGCTATTCACTTCTGAACATAGCCAATCTTACAATTCATGTCTGTTTGTATTTAATAATTATATCCAATGCTGCTTATTTTAAAAAATAGCAGTGGTTATTTAAAATACATTTATGAGAAATAAATCAAAATGAGTGCACTTTCTCAGATAATAAGATTAACGTTATCCTCCTGTAGTTTTTTTTTTTTTATTTATTTGATTTTAAGGCTGCGTTTACACTAGGGATGCATGGTATACTTGTACTTGAAAAATTCAGGTTCATATTGTATTAATAATATTTTAATATCAGTTTTACTCAATTCAGTATTTCACAAGTTGCAATTCCATAGTTCACCTGTAGGTGCTTTACAGTTTGATGCTGAAACCAATAAACTTTACAAAAGAACCATGCGATGGATCATCAAACAGATGAAACTCCAACAACGTGTGCGAATCTAGTATATTAGGACAATAGTACAAGTAAAACTGGCATTATTTTGAATATGAAACAGATAATAAAGAGTTTACTGCAACTGCATGCAAGGGTTGCTATAGAGAAAGGCTGGGTCCGAAATCGCATATTTCCATACTATATAGAACATTAAAAACAGTATGCCAGCTGAGTAGTATGTCGAAATTCATAGTATTGGAAAAACAGTCGGTAAGAAGCACCCGGATGATCTATGACTTCCGGCGAGATTGTAAAGTGTGCATCCGATGAATGCTACGCTATCCCACGATGCACTGCGGGAGAATTCATGAATGGGAGTAACTGGCACGGGTAGGTGCTGTGATCATGACAAAATGGCAGATTTTGTACGTCCGAGTTAAACTCATACTACTCACATTCATACTGTATAAAACTAACTTTTCTAACAGTCGAATAGTAAATTCAAATGCAGTACCTACTGAGTAGCAGGCGATTCCGGACGCAGCCAATGGGGACGTATCGTTACAGTGCAGTGCATTCTGGGAATTAGTGAAAAATACTGTATATTGACATTATTTAAATTAAGTTTTCAATTCACTTAACTTTTAAGGCTAGTTATTTGTCCCCTATGGTATTAATTTAGCATCAATACCAGGGGGTTACATTCTGGTATCGTACCGAATCCAAAATTATATCACTGTTATTAAATTACACTTGTGTATTTTCCTTTTAAAATGGCATTTTAACTGAAAATACCTTGTTTAGATTGGAGTTTTACTGCTGTACTACTCACGTAAAATGCATGATAAGTGACCATTCATGCTTATTGAGCAAATTTTATCACCGACCAGTTGTGTAATGGTCATATGAGAGGGGCTGATTGATGAATCAGAGAACAATATGTTATAATCCAGAAGACCAATCAGAGTGTTAAAAAGTGGATAGCCACGCCCCCTACTGAAACAGAACTTAAGTATTTCCAATCTAAAATGTGGTATTCAGCATTTTTAAAACACTTTATTTTGGAATACACCAGGTGTAACAAAACATATTTTTTTATTATTATTATGATGCACTAATGTAAACGCAGCCTAAGATTGTGATTTAAAAAGTGAATCTGAGGTTTGATCTACAGTATCTACATGGAGGATAGCTAAGCAGTGTGTTTGCATGGTGGTTGTTAAGTATACTGTACATGTTCTTTTTCCAACCATATGAAAACAAATTGCGTGACATTCGCATATCAATGGAATATATATTAGCTGCTGAGTTTATGATCTCTGGGTTGCCACAGTAGCACTGTGTGGATGTACAAATGTTTGTCTGGCTGAATTCATTCATAAATGCTGTCTATTTCAGGTTAGCAGGAATCGTCAGTGCACAAATTCTAGAAACTTGCAGTTATAATAAAAGAATATATTTAGAATTAGTGTTTGGTTAAATGTGTTTTTTTTATCAACAATAATATTGTGTGAGTAGGATACAGCGGGTAAAATAAGTATTGAACATGTCATGATTTTTCCTGGTAAATATATTTCTAAAGGAGCTGTTGACAAGAAATTGACTCAGATTTTGGTAAAGGCACTTGTAATCTATGTAATCTGATTTTAAGTTCTTATTTTCTTTTGGGTTCAGGTGTGGTGGCTGGCTGGGCCATTCTATCTGCTTTATTTTCTTTTCTGAAATCAATTGAGAGTTTCCTTGGCTGTGTTTGGGGTCATTGTTTTTCTGAAATATCCACCCTGGTTTCATCTAAATCATTTGGTAATGTGGGTGTTGGGATTGAAGCATGATATTAATTTACACTATTTCAGACCCCCTAGTTTTTCACGATTCCACAATCGCAGAATCCAACTCAAAATC